CCCTTCCCCCCCCCCCAAGATTTGAAAGTATCTTGCCCCCTTATTGGTCCTTCGGGTCAGGTGTCAGCCAGGTTACCCGAGCCTCTTAACCCTTTACAGGTAAAAGGATTTGGAGTCTCTGGCTAGGAGGGATTCCATAGCACTGTACACAGGAGAGCTGCCACCCTTCCCTTTATAGTTATGACAGTCCCCTACTCAAGTGTTGTGCTCCACAGCAGGGAATATGGCTGTGCTGGGCGTTCTACTACTCCAGCTCCCAGCAGGGTGGAGAAGCACCAGCTGGGAACGTTGTGGAGCAGTCCTACCCGCCTATGCCATTGTGCTGCCTGAACTGCAGACTCTGGAAGGTACAATTAAACAAACCTCGTGGCTTAGGTGACAGCTGCCAGCTGTAGCAAATCCATGAGTCAGAGCTGCTAATGGATTTTACCTTTTTCCCCCACCCAGAGCAGCCCAGCATTTTCATTTGAAAGAAGCCCAGAACATCAAGAGCTTTCCCTGTAACTGACCGTTCTCCCCCTGGGATTGTACTGAGTATCTGACCCACTGTGACAGTACCACAGGCTGCGCTGATGTCTTTGATGCCAGGGGTTCCCAGGCTAGAACTTCTCCTGGGGGGAGTTGTGGGCATATAGATTGTGGCTATATGGTGGCAGGTGGTGGTGTTAGTTTAATGTAGTCACTCTTGTTTTCCCGATGCTCAAATAACTAGGTTCAGCACTGGAGCTGATGTCCATGGACCAGTCCCAATTATGCTGGAGCTTCAGGCTTCTTGTAGCAGGGCTTGCAGGGTGCTGAAGTGCTCCTGAAATAGCTTCCAGGCTGATGTGTCTGTGTCACCATCCCATCAGGGTGAGTGGCCTGGAGGTTACAGTACTTGTCGGAGCAGGGTAGTGACTATGGAGCAAGCTCAGTCAGTGACATGCTGATATGTTCGCTCCATACGCCAATCCACTCACCCTTCCCTTGCCTTTTGGGAGAGAGTCCCTAGCAGATCAGTGCCCAGATCCACCAGCATCACAGCTGGCATCCGAGCAGAGAGCAAGGAGTGAGTGGGCTGGGAGCTGGTAGCAGAATACTGCCCCCTAGATTAGATGGTAGAAGTTAGAGGACTGAGCCATTCTGCTGGCTCTTATCTCCATGGGAGGCATGGTATACATACAGTGACTTTCAAAAGGCCTTTGACAAGATCCTGTGCGAGAGGCTACTAATGAAGCTAAGTAGTCATGGGGGTGAGAAGCAAACTATATTGTCATGGATCAAAAACTGGCTAGGAGATGGAAAGCAAAGAGTAGGATTAAATGGTCAACTTTCATCATTTCAAAAGTGGGGGCTGTAAATTTCCATACTAGGTCCTGTGTTTAGTGTATTTAATGATCTGGAAAGGCAGGAGATGGTGAGTAGTGGGGTAGCAACATTTGCTAGTCAAGACCAGAGAGGATCGAAAGGAACTTCAGAGGGACCTAACCAAGCTAGGAGAATGAGCAGCATGATGGCAAATGAAATTCAGTGTTGATCAATGCAAAGTAATGCACCTTGGAGGGAAAAGTTTAAACTCCTTGTGGACCTTGCAGGATTCTAAATTAACTGTGTCAGCTCGAAAAGGGACCTTGGTGTCCATATAGAGAGCTCAATGAAAACCTCTGCTCAATGTGAAGCTGCAGTCACAAAAGCTAACACAATGTTAGGCTGTATAAGGAATGGGGTGGTGAATAACACAGAGAATATTCTAATGCCTTCATATAAAGCAAGGGTGTGACCTTATCTGGATACTGTGTGGAGTACTGGTCACACCATCTCAAAAAGGATGGTGCAGAACTAGAGAAGGTTCAATGAAGAGCCTGGAAAGCCTGTCCTATGGAGAGAGATTGAAGAGTGGGATTGTTCACTTTAGGAAGGATGAGTAAGAGGGAACATGATAAAAAGTATATAAAATAATTAATGAGACAGAGAAGATAGATTTGGAGCTTCTGTTCTCCCTGTTTCATCATACAAGAACCAGAGGACATGCAATTAAATTAAAAGGTAGGTAATTCAAAACCAATAAAAGGAAATATTTTTTCACATAACTGTGGAACTCACTGCCACAGGACATCACTGAGGCCAAGAACATACCAAGATTCAAAAAGGGATAAGACACGTTTATGGGTATCAAGAATATCCAAAATTCTTATAATTAATTATGACAAGTTTAGGAAAGGCTATGGAGCCTCGTGCATCAGGGCTTAAACCATTCTCTAACTGACAGAGATCCAGGTGAGACGTAATGTGGGGATCAGATTCTCCCACATCTGTTCACTGCAGGGTTCTTATAGCTTCCACTGAAATAGCTGGTGCTGGCCACTGTCAGAGACCGGATACAGGACTAGGTGGATGTGGGGTCTGATCTGTTTCTACAGCCATACAAGGTGAGGTTGTGCTGCCATGCCTCCACCAGGGGGTGCTGTCTGCTGGGAGACTAAACAAAGCAGAAGCCTGAAGTCCCAGAGCAGTGGCCACTGTCCACCCCTACATGTGGTGCAGGGAAATGGTGATATCCTGGGAAGAAAACAGTTTACAAGCATTAATGAGCTTTAGATGCACTACCATGCCTCCTAGCCACTTCAGGAGAGCCCTGAACACACACACACACACACACACACACACATTTGCTGGAGATGGACCACAACATTCATCCAAATTTAGCAGCTGGCAGCTCTCCAGCTGTGGTGGTGGCCACAGAGGCCAGACCTTTCCTGAAATGGCAGTAAGGGCAAAGTGTGCAGGTTGCTCCTACTTCAGCAGGCTCTGCTCTTGTTTACAAGGTCTGGGCTGTTTCATTTATCTTTAGCAGGTGAGAGGGGGCTGCATTTACACAAAGCACGTTTGTTTTTAACCTGGGGGTATCACTGAAGGAAAGTGCCTGACTGACAGCCTGGGATGCCGAGGTCTTGTATTCATCCATCCCCACAGGCACTCTATGTGCGTGTGAGTGAAGGGAGGCAGTGGTGGCAAGGCCTGGGTGCCTTCACTGGAAAAGTGCCACATCTGAGACTCTCCCAGGCAAAGAAAGGGGAAGGAGAGGAAGGATGCTTGAGGCACTGGACTGGGACTCAGGAGATGTTGGGTTCAAATCCCCACTCTGTCACAGAGTCCCTGTGTACCCTTGGACATGTCACTTAATCTCTGTGCCTCAATTCCCCATCTGTCAAATGGGGATAATAATACTCCTTTCCTCCCACCCATTGCTTCCCTTGTCTGTTCAGATTGTAAACTCATCAGGGCAGAGTTGTTCTCTTACTGACTGTCTGTGTGTATACACAGCACCTAGTGCAGTGGGGCCCTGGTCTCAGTTGCAGCCTCTCGGTGCTGCGGCAACAGTACTGTTAATCAAATCACAATGGGACTTGGCAGGGATGGAAAGACATTCCCTTGCTGCTGCTGGGAGGGAGAATGAATCAGCAACTTTTGTCACAACTAGCAGTTACTTCAGTTAGTGCTGTTCTAACCAGGAACTTCAGGCTATTACCCATCTCTGGAAGATACCCACTTTGAACGCTGTTGGGCCTGATGCCATGGAGAAAATCTGGCCAGTTTCTACATCATGGAAGTGGTGCAAAATCCTCCTTCTAAAGTAGCAGAGGATGCCACTTAGCCACAGGCTGCTGGACAGACTGCATCATGAGGGCCCAGTGGTCATTGGCTTCGCTGGGGCTCCTCTTCCCCAGGACTGCCTGTCCAATGAGCTGCCTGTTGCTGCCTCTGGCCCTGGAGTTCATTTCATAAATGGAGACCAGAACTGTGCAGGCCCCAGCAACAGGCTCAGCAAGATGGAAGAGGAAAGTCTCGTTGAAGATGATGACTGAGGTTCGGGCCCTGGGGCTGGATTTCTGATGCTTCTGTTTGTGGAGATTGCAGGAGATGTCTATTCTCGCATACACACCTGGGGCAGGGAGAGAGCAAGAGGGAAAAATGAGGATACAGGACATTGTGAGCATCCCTCAGACCTGACGTTACTGCTCTATGGACTTGATCCTGCACCCTTTCGGTGGGCAAAGCTCCCACTGACTTCAGTGGTGCAGAAGGAGGGCTGTAATGTTAACCGTAGATCAGATTTGGGTCCTGTGATCCATGCACTTATGTGTTGGTGAACCATGACAGTGTCACAAGGTATATGCTTAGCGCCAGATTCTGCCCTTGAATGTGTGTGAGACTCCTGCTGAAGTCCATGAGAATGGTGCATAGGTATCAAGAAGAGAATTTTACCCTTACTGGCAAGGGGATGGTTACACTAAACCCAGTTCCTACTACACCAAAGCCTGGCTGGAAACAAGGGAGAGAAGGCACTGGAGAGTCAGGCCCCTTCCAAGTAGAAAGTCTAAGGGTGTTGGTGGCAGGGCTGTTTCTATGGGTGGGCAAGCAGGGTAGTTGCCATGGGCACCAACTTCCTGAGGTGTACCGTACCACTGTGCCACTCTGGTGGTGGTTTTTTTGCACAGCCTCTTGGGGTGTGTGCATGTGCATCAAATATTTTTCCACCCTGGTTGGCAAAACAGCCAGCTCTGCTCCTAGTTGGAGGAACCTGGTAGAGGAACAATTGGTCTTGGGGCAAGGAGATCTCAAAAGCAGCTGAACTCTCTGCTGCCCTCGTTCCTCCCAGAAAAGAGAGATCTGAAGGTGGAAATATGTCTGCAGGAGTAGGCAAGAGAGAAACCACAGGAAGGGCTAAGGGCTTTGCCAAATTAGTGGGATGGGGTGGCCAGGAGATCCAACTCACTTATCCCCTAATGCTGTCTGTCAGTTTACGCACCATACAATGCAAGACGATAACAGCCCCATATTTCTGTCCCCCCCCCCCCCCACTAGCTGTTCAGGCAGAGGAAGAGGATGTCACGGATGACAATGTGCCCAGATGTGCCGTCTGGCTGGGTGGTGCTTGGTACAGGATCCCAGAGGTCACGGGAAGGAAAAGGTGGCTTTGTCACCTTTTGTGTTTCCCTGATTCGAGACAACTCGGGGCCATTTCAGCTTTTGTGCAACGTAGAGCAGTCTCGGGCCATCTCTGAAGTGGGTCCCTGGCCCTTTGGAGCTGCCCCCACAGCTGAACTACATGAGCACAGCAACACTGTGGCCACATCTCTCCATCAACCACACACACACACACACGGGGAGGGGAGGATGTCAGCTGTATGCTACCTGGGGATTCCTCCATACTGAGAGAATCCTCAGGAGCCTGACTAATCTGGCTTTATGGCAGGTACAAGGGCCAGGTTCTCTGTTCTGCCCCTTTGCATCTCTGTGTTGTCTCGGAAATGGACTAACACAATGTATGTGTGCGTGTGGGAGGAGACTGCCCTGCTAGGGAAGAGTCACTCAAGTACCAGCAGTGGAAGTCCCTGTGCTGGGTTCTGCCATTATCGCTCTTGTGCTTCAATTCTCAATGGCATTCTGCCCCACCCGGTGCCGGGGGTCCGGGCTTCAGCAGTGGCTCTGAGCCAGTGCAGCAGTGTTCAGTGGGGTTTTGGCAAATACTCCCCTACCACTGGACTGTAATGGGCCAGCAGAAGGGGCGCTCGAGTACTCTCTCTCATACCCTATCCTTCCCCTGGGAAAGAAGAGAGGCTGCAGACAGAGCAAGCTGGAGAGATACAGAACCTCAGGCAACCACAGACAGTAGGTGAAATAAATGCCTTTACTCTTCTCTGGACTGCTGCACACGGAGGCAGTTTTGACTTTGAGCAGCCCAATTTCTATCTTCTGAGAGATGGGGAGACACTTCAGCGACACAAGAACTTCTCCAACAAGGTCCTGTGAAAGGATAGCAAGCAGTGCTGTGAACAGGCCACCCTGACTCCATCCTCCAGTACACACACTACTCAACTGCCCCTGCTGAGAACAGCATAGTGGCCTGCCGCCCTCTGACTACTTTCTGAGGGAGGAAAAGCTAAACTTGGGGAGGTATTTAGTTGCTCTGAAAAGCGAGGGAGGCTATTTACGGTCAGAGTTAAACCCATGTAAATCTGGAGTGACCCTCCAACTGGGATCAGAACCTGACCCAGGGACTAATAGCACTGAAGCCAAGCAGAGCATGAGCATGTGTTGTACAAAATGTGTCCCTCTCCCAGCACTGCCAACCCCCACCGAATCCTGACCTGAAAGCTCCCCCTGCACTTCCAATCAGGCCTGCAGATGGGGGAGCGGTCTGTGTAAGGGGGCAATTGCCCAGGGGCCCGGGCGATTTAAAAGCTCTGCATCCCTTTTAAATCGCCTGGGCGGGCCACAGTGCTCCTAGGCGCATGTGGGGTGGTACTGGTGGCAGCGAAGGCAGCCGAGTGGGCATGCGAAAGCCTTGGCCGTGCCGGAAGTGCACGTTCAACAGCGCAGCTGGCAGCTTGCTGGGCACCAGCCAGCGCAGGCGCAGCACCGCCCAAATGTCAGGCGGACCTTTCTAGGGGACCCATTGACTGTTCTGCCCTGGGCGGAGCCGTCCCTAGGGTATGGCGAATAGGGGCAACCGCTCCGGGCCCCACACTTTGGGGGGCCCTGCGAGCTGCTGGTGCAATTGGCCAGCGTGGTCGGTCCCGGAAGTGACGGGTCGGTCCCGGAAGTGATGGATTCATTACTTCCGCCCCAGGCTCCGCACCCTTCTCGGGGCAACCCTGGCCCTGGGGCCCGGAATTGCTGTCGCCGGACCTGCTTCCAGTCATCAGGGTCAAACTCACTCACAGGGCTACCAGGAAATCTCCCCAGCCAGCCAATTTGTGTTAACAGTCCTCAGCCAGTTTAATGAGAGGCCCGTCTCTAAAGCTTACACAGAGTCAGGCTTCTCAGCTCCTCTCTGGTCCCCGGAGGGTCCCTGCAGCTGGCTCTGCTGAGGCATGCTCCACCATGCACTGCAGGTGCCAGCAAAGGAAACAGCAGAACCTCCCTTCCCCAATCCACCCGAGACTCGGGGACTGGGTATGAAGCGCAGCCCCCACCCCCTGAGGCATGGAAGAGGACTCAAGTGAACATGCCCCAGCAGTATTCCCATAACTGGACTGCAATGTGAAGAGCCTGTAGCTGCCTCCCACGCCCTGAGGAGGGGAGCTGAGTAACAGGGAATCCTGCTACGTGGCCTCAAAGACCTGTATGTGTGTAACTCACTGAGTCATCACTGTTCTGACAAGGACATGTTTCACACTCACCTCACACAGGGTGCAAGGGGCAGTGCAGAGAATTAGCTCCACAGGACTCGACACTTATAGGAAAGTCTGTCTGTCTTTACCTGGAGATTTCCTGAGAGCCAGTTGGCCCCTGAGCTCTACCCTCATGATCATGGGGCCATGGTCTCTTTTTTTTCCTTGGAGGCCTTTACCAGCCTGGTGCAAAGATGCCACTCCCAGACCTATCTTGGGTGGAGACCGTTAATTGCACTATGTCAGGAGATGGTTCTATGATGTGGATGAATGGGGAGAGAAATCCAAACTTTCTCTTGTGACGCATTTCAGGATTCGACCCACCCCCCAAGGCCCTAGAGTCCTAGGTTTTAAGTCCACAAGGTACCATTTTAATAATCTAGTCTGACCTTCTGCATAACACAGGCCAAAGAGCCTCACTCAGTAATTTCTGCATCAAGCCCAGAACTTGTTTGAGCTATAACCATGGGCAACGGGTGAACCCCTGGCTCAGGGAGGCTAGCGCCCAGCCCGCCCCTTCTGCCCTAGGTCCCATTCCTCCCGCCAGAGCCCAGAGCACACGTGCACACACACACACACGCTGCAGCCGCCAGGCCCCCCATCCCGCCCGAGCACCCCCATCTCCAGAACACTGAGAGGGCAGCGCAGCCTCTCCCCTCAGCCCCAGAGCTCTTGGCAGAGTCCCTGGCTGCAGGCTGGCCCCCATTAGCCCCAGCCCAGGGCCCTGGCCACAGGGGAAGAGCCACCCGCAGCACAGCACCAGGAAGCAGGGGTGGCAGAGAGTTAGCAGGGCCATGCAGGGCTGTTTGGGGAGGCTCAGCCTTATCCAGCTTTTGATACCCACCACCCATGGCTATAACCTATCTTTTAGACAAACATTCTGTCTTGATTTAAAGACTTCAAGTGATGGAGAATCCACAACATTCCTAGGTTGTTTCAGTGAAAATCCTCACTGTTTAAAAATTCCCCTTTATTTCTAGTTTGAATTGGTCTGGCTTCAGCTTCCAGGCATTAGATCTCATTTTGCATTTTTGCCAGATTAAAGAACCTCATATGAGAAATCTCTTTCCCGTGTAGATACTTGTAGATTGTAACCAAGTCACCTCTTAACCTTTGCTTGGATAAACTAAATAAACCGAGCTTCTTTAGGCTCTCTAAGGCATGCTTTCCAGACCTCAAATCATCTTTGTAGCTCTCTTCTGACTCGTTTCCAGTTTTCAACATCTCTTTGAAGTGTGAATACCGGAACGGGACACAGTATTCCAGTAATGAGCTCGCTAATGCCATATACAGAGGTAATGCAGCCTTTCTGCTCCTCCTTGATATTCCCTTCTTATACATCCAAAGGTCGTGTTCTCTCTCTTAGCTAGAACATTGCACTAGGCTCCTGTTCAACTGGTTATCTACCAAGGCCCCTAAGTTCTTTGCATTCCAGTGGCATAGTCCTCCAACTTGTAAGAGTGACCTGCATTCATTGTTCCTAGATATATGGTTGTGTTAAAATGCATGAAACAAGCCCACTTCACCAAGCGATCCAGCTTAGTCTGTATAACTGACTTGTCTTCATTTTTTACCACTACCCAAATTTGTGTGCCATCTGCAAATTTTACCCGTAATGATTTTATACTTTCTTCAACCTCATAGATAAAGAGATTGGATAGCATTGAGCCAAGAATAGATCCCTGAAGAACTAGAAGCTCCCCTACTGGAGGGCAGTTCTTCATTGACAATTACTTTCTGTTGTCTGTCAGTTAACTAGTTTTCAGTCCATTTAAAATGAGCTGCATTGATTTTTTTTTTTTGTTTATGTATAGTACTAAAAAATTATCAGAATATGTCAGGAGGGACTAAAACGAATGCCATACAAAAGGCTAGGTATGTTATGTCAAGACAGTTACCTTTATTGAACTCTTGATCTCATAAAAAATGGAAACAAGTTAGGTGAGGTTTGTGTGATGATCAATTGCAATTATCAATTGTACAGTCCATTCCACAGAACAGCAGTACCTTCTGCTGGGTGCACAGGACCCTACAAATTGATTATCCTTGTATTGTAATTGTGGAATCAGTGTTGTTATCCTAACAAGGCAGGAGGTATCTGCTATGACCATTCCCCTTCTCCCAACCCTGGAATATTAAGCTGAATTTTATAAGAGTACAAGGATACTGGTTTATTGGGAAGGACTCTAAAGAGTTTGAAAACAGCTGCTGCCACCAAAATGGTAGTCATTCAGCTGACAGTATTTCCATGTGCATGATAGGTTAGCAAGAGAATTATTTTGGTCTCTTATGAAAACAGTTGGCCTAATTCATTGTTTCCCTGGACTTAGATTGGCCAGTGCAAAGAGGATGTAAAATGCTAGCCAGTGAGATCACACCTACTCTGCACAGGTTCAACTACTTCACTACACAAGGTAAGGGGAATGGTGAATTGGGCCAAGTGAGGAAATCTTTCCTCGCAGGTACAGTGGCACATAATGCCACTGAAGTTAATGGGGTTTAATGAGTATAACAGAGGGCTTGGCCCAGTGAGTTTAGAGTGGGATTGTGAAAAGTGCCCAAGTGATTTAGAAGCACAAGTCCCATTGAAAGTCAATAGAACTTGTGCTCCTAAGGCACTTTTCAAATTCCTACCCCAGAGCCCTACTTCTGTTTGTATATTCACTCTTCTCTCCATCAGGCTGTGCCACCCTGTGGTTTCTGAGAAGCCATCCATGCTAGCAATGGTGTAGCTCCATCCTTGCTAGCAGTGGTGGTGTAAACCGGTTAGTGGCATTCTTACCAAAGCATCATCTACCCTCATCAGGGCACATCTAGATACCAATGCCCAGACTACAGCAGTGCCCCCACCACTGCTAGCACTGGAGCTGTATGATGGGGCAGCATGGCATATCCCAGCCTCTTCCACGAACACAGACCCACTCAGACCTCCTGGCTTATTTACAGTGTTTTAATCCCTCCATCAACACCTACCTCTGTCTCTACATCCTCCTACTTATCTCAACTTTCTAACCCCTTCTCCAAAAAGGAGGAAAGATGGTGTCTCTATTCAGCAGACTCCTTTTAACCAGGCATCCTCTCCTCCCCCAGCATGCCTTCCTGTGCCTTTTTTTTAACAGCTTCCCTGTTAATGAGCTAATTGGTTCACCAGCCTCACTCTGGCCTGGTAATCCAGGTAGTCCAGGGCCGGCTCTAGGCACCAGCAAAGCAAGCAGTTGCTTGGGGTGCAAGAATCCAGCATGGGAGCTGAGAACCAACAGGGGGCCCTGGGAGCTGTAGTTCCTTGGTTAGCTCCCTGCCTATAGAGCCAGCCCTGGAGCAGGGAAAGAACTACATTTCCCAGCATTCCCTTGGCCACTAGCAACAGGAAAGGGTGGGGGAAGGAGTATGGAACTGAAATCTGCAGCTTGCTGTGAATGGTAGGAACAGAGCCAGCTCTAGGTTTTTTGCCCCCGTCCACACCCCCTGCTGCCCCAGCTCTGGCCCCTACCTGCACTCTCCTCCTGCCCCAGCCCTGGGCTCTTCCTCCCCCCGCACCCTCTGCTGCCCCAGCCCTGGCCCCCACCTGCACCCTCCTGCTGCCCCAATCCTAGGCTCTTCCCCCACCACCCGCACCCCCTGCTACCCCAGCTCTGGGCTCTCACCCCACCCGCACCTCCTGCTGCCCCAGCTCTGGCCCCCATCCGCACCTCCTGCCACCCCAGCTCTGGGCTCTCCCCCACCCACACCCCCTGCAGCCCCATCTCTGGCCCCCACCTGCACTCCCCTGCTCCCCCAGCCCTGGGCTCTCCCCCCACCCGC